TGGGAATTCGCAGTTGGTGGGCAAGAAAGACAGATCTGCTAGCGCGACCTGCATTTTTGCAGATTGGTGGCCAGCAAAGGCTCCTTTCCAGCCCACGTAGTGAATTTACAGTTTGGGCTTGTAATGACAACCTTCCCTGCCCACTGGGCTGGTAACTTCGCGGGTGGTTGGGCCGGGAATTCACAGACCATGTGGGCATGTAAATTCCCAGCCCAACGCGTGTTCAGGTGCGTTGCCACGCCGGGTCGGTAAAATTCAAGCTGGATTTTTTTACCGTGTATATAATTTCCCTAAATTGCATCTGGAAAATTAAAATCCCTACGCGTGGCCGACTTGAAATGAATGGGAGAAACAAAGAAAAGCGCTCTGCCGCACCCTTTCTAGGTCCAAGGGTTTTGATGCAGCCTTTATCAAGCCAAATTTCTGTTAGCGCCCTTTTGCGAATGAGGTGCGTGACCTGATGTGTTTTTCCAGTGCACCCCCCATGCATGCACTACTAGGGGCGGTGTGGCGCCCGTGTGTACACAACACGTGAGTCGTTGTGCACGCGCTGCGAGGGGCCGCCGCCGCCACGCGCCGCCCTTGACACCGGATAGCTCTGTGGGGCTGCATGGGGGTGTGTAGCCCTAGGGCAGCTAGCTGCTGGCCCTGCTGGGCTGGATTACTCTTCCCCTCTCCCCTTTGCAGTGTGAAGGGTAATTAGGAGAACCTCTCTTTTGTATTTTTTATTTTTTGTATCTTTACAAAATGCCTTCTGTTATGTTTTTTTTTGTTTGTTTTGGAGGCCATAGCTTCTTAGTGTGCTGCTGCTGCTGCAGATCGTGGCGCGGCGCAGTAGTGCCCTGGCCACGCCCCTGCCGCGGGCGGGTCGGTCGGTCGGTCGGTCGCGCGGGGGGGCTCACTGTGTTGCATGCGCTGCAGCGGCGGCAGCAGCAGCCTCCGCCCTGCTCCTCGGCCCAGTTGTGCAATCCCCCTGCTGCCCTCCCCGCCGTATAAACTCTGGGCGAGGACGAGGGGGGCGCAGAGCTGGCTGCTGGAGCTTGGGATCCTCGGGAAATCAATAACAGTGGGGCTGCAGGGGTGGGAGGCTGGCGGGATACGGGGATGCTGCTGGCGGGGGGGCGTGGCCGGCCGGCCGGGCAGAGGGGGTGGTGAGAGAGGCGTCTCGCTCTCACCCCTCCCCCCCCTCTCTCTCTCTCTCTCTGCTGGGGGGCGCAGG